GTCATATTTTAGCAGTTATTTCGAATAATGCGCAGAATAATATAAAGTGACTGCTTCTAATAAAATCAAATAACACAGTTGATATTGACTCTGTCTTGCTTATATTACCGAAAGTCAATGCAAGGCTAAAATCCTATTAAGAATACAACACTGCAGAATGCAATTTATCTCTAGTAATGTTAGTACAAAATAACAAATATTTATAATTAAAGAAAAAAGTCATTAGCACGATGAGCGTATTTTGACTTCTCATGTGACGTGAAATGTAATAACCTTACTATTAACCTTTGACTCGTTATATCCATTCTTTAAGCCCTAAGTTCGTCTAATTTAAAGCTTCTAAATTTTTAGTTTTGCTAACAATTTTAGCAGTTCGTTGTAATCCTTCACATTATGAAGTAAAAAATAAATGCAATCAGCAAAGAATTAATCGCTCAAAGTCACAATGTTAAGTCTTTTTGCTAGCAAAAATTTACAATTTCTTGCTAGCACACTGCAAAATGGATAAATCAGTTGTTTAAAACAGTAAGCTTAGCTTACTGTAGAGCAGTAAGTTATCAAAACAATTGAGATAACACGATTTTAGTTGACAAAAAAAAAAGTCGTCATTCTATACGAATGTTACTTCTAATTTATTATTACAATAAACTGAAGTTAAATTTGCAGGATGAAAGTTATATGTACATGGTTAGTGATCTTTTGCTCGGTGGAGACTTAAGATATCATCTGAACCAGCAGGGCAGATTTGCCGAAGATCGGTTAGTTTAACACATTTGATATTTGATAATTTAATATTACTTTTGTGCTAAAATTTAGCGTTGGAGGTCAAAAGTTAGCACAGTTATAGTAAACATAAGATAAACTTAAGCCATTATTTTATTCAAATTTTTAAATTCAGAATTTACTAATCCATCTTTCTGCATCAAAATTTAAGTAAAGTTTTGTGCATATTAATATTTTATATTGAATGAAAAGTATTTTACAGCTCAAAGCTGTATGTTTGCGAGATAGCACTGGCATTGGATTATTTACACAAAGAAATGATTGTACATCGAGACGTGAAGCCGGAAAATATTTTATTGGATGACGAAGGACACGCACATCTTACGGACTTTAACTTAGCCACACGTCTTGCTCCAAATACTTGCGCTACCTCATTCTCTGGTCTATATTTTGATATATTTGAACTTAAAATTAAATTTGTATTCATATGGCTCATTAATATTTTAATACATCCCAAAAAAAGTATCATAATATTGCAATTATTAATATTTATTTGGAGATGAATGAATGAATTGTAATCTATACCAGGAACAAAACCGTATATGGCACCAGAGGTACTACTGTGTTCATTAGGTTACCTGACAGGTTATGATTATCGTGTTGATTGGTATTCACTTGGAATTTGCTTTTATGAAATGCTCATGGGACGAAGACCTTTCGATTATACTACGCATTTATCTTCAGAGCAGGTTTTTCTATCCTCAAATACTACCTTTAATTACATGACAAGAAATTATTCAAAAAATGAAAAAATATTTTCATGCACAAAAACTTTCACGAAGTTTAATTTTTTAGATAAAGTATTTACTGCGAACATTTTTGATGAAGTTTGAAATCATATGAAAATTGTTACTGTAAAATCAGATGAAAATTGTTACTGTTACTGTTGTTAATAAAATGATCATGAAGTGAAGAAATGCATCTTATCAAATTGCTATTATTATGTAGACAGTTAATTTCACGTATGTATTTTTGAAAGCTAATATTCTGTACAAAGTTAATTTTAGGTACTCTACTTAATGAGCAAAAGTTTGCTAGCGCTGCCGTCTCATTGGCCTTCAGATTTGATATCTTTTATTAGTTGTATGCTCAGGTATGAAGTGGAATCTCGAATCGCTTCATTTGCTGCCTTCTGTCAGCATCGTTACATGGAACGAATTGATATGAACGATGTTCTTGCCAGGCAATTTTGCTCATAATTACTGAATTTTTATTTTTAATATTTTAATTTCAATATTTTTTGTCAGTCTTACTAACTAACTTACTTACTTACTAATTAATTACTTTGTTATTTAATTTGTTAAATATGTGAGCTAAAAGATTGAACAAAAGCGTACACATCAAAGCATTATTTATGAATTATTTGAATAAAAAGATTCAGAAGAACAGCACCAGTATTTATTCCTCGTTCTGATAGAATGAATTGTGATCCTATTTATGAGTTAGAAATGCACATTATTGGTAGCTTGGAAAAAAATTACCGAGATCAACGCCAGAAAAATCATACAAAAGATGAGAAAAGAATGAATGAAATAAGCCAAGCATTTATATCCTATAATCGCGAATATCAGTGCTGTGCTAATCAGAAGGTTTTCTTTACAAATCAAATACCTAATTTATATTAAAAATATGAATTATTTTTTATTTGGACTAAAATTGTTGCTAAATGCAAATAATAATTAATGCCTTATCACTGAATAAAATGTTTACTTGTGAAAAATTTAGTCTAATTTTCATCATAAATTATAAGCGTATTAATCAGTGACTAAAGCTTCACAATTCCAGGCTCAAAATATTATTCACTGAAACGATATCAGAACTAAATTCATCGCATATATTGCCTCGAAACTCACTTTTTTGAGCAAAAAATAACTGATACTAAAAATGCTCAATTATTTCACTTTGGAACAAATCGCAAAGTTCAGTTTTATTATAGCCAAAAACACTGCCTTCTTTATAACAATGTTATTTTTATTAATATATTTATCTGACTATGGTTTCTAATTTTACTTTTATCACTCTTAGATGTTTTTTTTTGTGCAGTCAACTAAAACAGTTTAAGTACGTGAAAATGACAGCTTGAAATAGCTACTTCACGTTTTGAAAGAAAAGTAGTGGGACATTGCTGTGAGTTTCTGATACATGAGTAAGTCAATTGTTTTATAAAACTGGAAGCTGAAGGCTAAGGAAATACTAAAAGACCAAAAGAAGCGGTTTTCGGATACAAAATATAGTTGTAACCATGTACATATCAGTTGGCCATGTATTCAAATCTATAAAATCAGTTATTGAATAAATATCATTGTATTTTCTCAATTTTATTCATTATTTTCATCTCAAGAGTCTTTTTGCCCTCTGAGCTCTCATATCTATTTATAGCAATATTACTTTCAAATATATATATAGCAAATTATAAGTAGTGGAACATTGCTGTGAGTTTCTGTATATATATAGTTGAGAGCTCAGAAGTCAAAAAGATCATGAAAATACCAGAACTGATTCAAATAGATCAGATTTTTAATATATACATATAATATTGTATAGTTGTCATTCCATGTGTGGCGAGAATCTTTGTGTGTTCGATTACTCTTCAAGAACAGAAGAAGCAAGCGAATTCTGCAATTACTACTATAAAAAGGCTATCCCATCTCGGCGTCCTCCAGAAACGATATCAAGAACGCTTTCAGTACTCCACCTGGCCAGTTGAACCTCGATTCCTCGAATGATAGCTTCAAGCGTAATCATTCTGCTGGTTTCCGGTTCCGATAGATGTCAGAGTGCTCTCTTACATATTTCACGGAGTTTTTCACAAGCTTATGTTTTTTCACTGCTTTCCGCTGTGATTTCAGATGTGGCTTTTCTCCATTCTCCATTCTCCATTTTCTTCTCGGACTTCTGATTTTCTGACAGTACGAGCAGACAGAATTCTTATGTTTGGTTTCGAACTGTCTTTGCAACAGTCTTTTCTTCCGCTTTATTCATGCCATGCGTGTCATTCTTCTTTACCTTTTCTTGTTTCGACTGCGTTGCTTCAGAAGTACTGCAACAAGAGGTTGCATGAGCATTATCGTTATGGTTTCTCCTTTTCGCTACTTGGAAGTCGCCTGTGTTGTGGAAGGTTCTTCTGAAACGCTTCCCCAGCCATCAAATAACTGATCTATTTGAATGCTGGAATGTTCTCTCATGTTACTACCATTTCCACCGTTCTAGGTCGTTGATTGTCGATACTACTACGTCTGTTTTTGCAACTGATCGCACTGGAATTTCAGCCATTTACTCTCATAGTAGCATCATGACATCGTCATAACATATGAAAGGATGAAAACCAGAAAAGTAGTGAAGAAGCAATGTGTTACTTTCAAGATTAGGCGAAATCTACGATGACCTCAAAGTTTAGTAAAGATTTTATGAATTTGCGCATAATGCGTGCGTAACATTGAAAAATATTCAAAAAAATGAGATACTTTTTCAAGAAATGATAAAAAGTGAGCTATTAGTTATTAGCTGAAATCCAAGATCGCTGCATATTTGAAGCGTCAAGGCAAGTGTTCTGTCTTGCCCGCACACAATTCATACTTCGATTTCCCAGCTCAAGCCCTTTTTAAATGTAAGACAAAATTAATAAGTATATGTAGTTTGTATGCACAATAGCTAAGCAAGAAAAATCATGATAAAATACTGAAAGTTGTAAAGTTAAAACTGCAATCCAACAAGCTGCAACACGAAGAGAGAACTTAAACGTAAACATTATTACTGTATACATAAATTGACAAAAAATTCTTAGCAACCATCTCAAATATCACAATTCGTCAGTGAATAATTACAATATCAGAAAATCTCGCAACGAACTTCAGATATCTTCTGTGTATTATGCCAATAAACGATGTAAGCACCTTTGTGAAGCAGCAAAAATAGTTCTTTCATTCGAATAGAATTTAATTATTAATGAAGACTTTTATTGTTACCGGAAGCTGTTATCTATTTTTCGCCTATTTTCTGCTAAATAATAAATAAACTGATATACAATTGGTTTCCATAGAAGCATTTTTTTGCTCCGAACAGTGCGGAATCATAATTAAAAGTAGACAAAATGACAAAATAGTCTGACAATAATTACTTTTGTGTCTAAATCTGACATATTTTTTCATTGCTGATTGAAAAGTCTTCTTTATTATTCATTGCTGAAGTCAAAAAGTAATCGTTTCGAAGAAACGTCTCTACGTGTTTCGGTCCTACTTACAAGAAGATGCTTGATAAAGTCACTTTCACGTAGACTTCTCGATTACCCTCTTCGTAATGCCAATTACAGTCTCATATTTGAATTAAACTTTTGAGATGGAAAAATTCTACGGACCGCAATAACATAGTAATTCTGAATGCAAGCATTACAATGAGCAGCTGCAGTTTAAGATGTGTATGCAACTTGATGAGGTTGATGGTGCAAGTTCACTTACTAAGTGGTGATGGGTTGTTGGGGAAGGCGTGCTCTGTGTAGCAGGGTATGGCAAGGATTTGTGTGAGGTATTTCACTTTTCTATGATTTGAACTTTAACCTTGTTTGATTTTTGTACCCAAATCTGTAATTTAATTTAAAGCTGCAAAGAAATTTAAGTTGAAAGCATATACTTGATGAGAAAATCCCTTCTTTTCATAATTTAGCTCAACAATGTCATTAGCACTTTTAATGAATGGTTTCAAAGATATATCAAATTTCCTTATCTCTTAAAAAATTCATCTGAATGATTAATTATGTAGCTAGAATTAATCTTAGTTTGGCTATCTGTAGTTTCTCTCTTGACCGTGAAAAAGCAGTTGAAATTTGAAATTTGATATTTCAATAGTCTTCAAAATAGTCTAATGACATTGTTAAGCTAAATTATGAAAAGACGGAATTTTCTCATCAAGTATATGCTTTCAACTTAGATTTCTTTGCAGC